TTTGAGCTTAACTGAATATTTTTTAAATTGTTATGTTTTATTCAGGGTTTGTATATGTTTGTGGTGGGAAGCTGGGTGGCATGTGTGTATGCGAAGAGAACATACCCCATGAGGCTCAGGTCAACATCTTGCTTAAAGCAATAGATGCAGTGATAAGTAGCTTTGAAAAATACATTGGCTATATTCTTTACAACCCAGTTATTCTTCAATTTTAATGCATTTAGTAAAAAATGAGCAAAGGGTACCCATAATCCCTGAGTCATAAAAAATTAGTGAACCAAGAGACAACCCATTGAAAGAAGGAGCAGCAGTCTCAAATGATGAACTACGGTGTGAAAGGAAATAATTTGAACATACTAGAAGAATAGGTAGAAAGGCACCATATTATATGCTATACATATACATACATGATCACATATAATACCCCAGTATCCCTATCCTTTAGAAGAGACTCAGAAACACTACGCTTGTACAGGAATTGAACTAAGCAAGGAATTGAAGCTAGGTCTCTCGGTTTCAAAAGGTCGTATGCTAAAACATTGTAGAAAGAAATACGAAATTTGTTCTAAGATGACAGAGTTTCACACTTATCAAAGGCAAAATTGAGGAAGACTGCTCTAGGGGCAAAGGTAGATTTATCATGAAGTCAATAAAGTGAGGCACAGGATGCCTCGACTGGATGAGCCTCTTGAGTGCTGGAGTTCCTGGATGTTGTAAGCATTCTAGATAGGAAGGGAAAGCCACTTTAAGATCCGGAAGCATTTATATGTAAGTATGTCTGAAAATTGTCTAACAAGATGTTAGAAGAAAAGTGTTTTAATCTTCAAGATTTCAGTGGTTTCTAAAATTTTTTGTGTATTATAATTTTAAACTGCAAATACACATTCATTTTATCTACCTATTTTTTTGCTCATAATTGTGTATTACTTTTCTTTTCAAAAAGATCTCAAGTCATGTAATCTTCAGGTTTTGCTAACCCTATTTCTGCCTCTGCCTAGGCATAGTGTGTGTGAAGATTGTAAGAGGAAAGTAGGGAGTTGAGTTAGAAGGATTATGCAAGAGTATAGATATGAGGTGTGAAAGGCTAGAACTAAAATAATAGCACATAAAAGCAGAAACTGTAATATTTATTTGGGAAACAGAGTAAAGGAGGAATAAGCAGAATTCATTAAGTGGTAGGATACAAGACACAAAAGTAGTCAAATCTCATCCTACACTTTTGAGCAATGGTAAAAATAACAATATGGTGCTATTAACAGTAGGCAAGTCAAGAGGAATTTACTGGTGGCTTGATAAGTGAGGTGGAATATCAGTGGAGAAGATAGGTGCTGGAGAATATAAAGAGTTCAGTGTAATATAATTATTGCCCTAGTGTCTGGCTGACATTTGGAAGGAAATACCAAAGATTTGTATATTTTGGGTATTGTGCTTTGAGAATAGGATACTGTACACAAGGGCAGACATTTGCAATTGTGGTTAGGGTGATATACAGTACGTGGCTGAACACAGAACTGTTGGAACTGCCCAAAAGCAGCTAAGAGTAAATAAGGAGGAAGAGAAACAGCAAGCTTCAAGAAAATGAGCATATTTTAGTTGAATATGCAATCTTTGAGTTTTGTGCAAAGGTGGTCAAGTGATCTTTATAAGAACTAATTGAGTAGAGTCATCCTTTGGTATCTCTGTAGGACTGGCTCTAGCACCTCTGAGGATGCTCAAGTCCATTACATAAAATGGCATAGTATTTGCCTATTACCCAGGCACGCTGTCCCGTATACTTTAAATTATGTCTAGCTTACTTATAAATCTTAATACAATGTAAATGACATGTAAATAGCTATTATACTGTATTGTCTAAGGAAGGATGACAAGTAAAAAATGTCTATACATGTTCAATACAGGCACAATCCCCTTATTTTTTTGCCATATATTTTTCAAACAGTTGATTGAATCCACAGATGTAGACTCTGCAGATCTGTAGAGCTGACTACACAGTGGTGAGAACCACAGTCTGAATAATCTGAATGTGAAGGAGTACTGAAGGATTTGGTGGTAATAGGTATAATCTGCGAGTATAAAATGCTCTTTTGAGAAACCTGGCAAAGAAAGATGAACTCAGATTGTAGAAGAAGAATAAGAGATGTAACTTTTTTTTGGTATCTGAGAACTTTTTTTTTTTTTGGAGAAAGGGATTAAATGTTCCTCTCATTGAAAAGGGAAAACTGAACATATAAAAGAGTAGGGGTGGTTGATGGAGCAATGTTCTGAAGAAGGCAGAATTATATGGGGGCAGAGATGCAAGGTTTATTTATCCAGGGCAAATAAGAACAAGAGTTTTCCTCTGTAAAGTCACCAGAGAATATGTGAGTGAGAACATTTAGAAAGTTTTGAAATTTTTAATATTGCTTTTTCAGGCTCTTGGAGTGATTACTAAGATCAAGGTATATTCATGCTAATAAAGACTGAGGTGAAAGAGAGATCCAGATCCCTGAAGTGGAAAAGGTAAAAGAACTGTGAATCAACTTAGATATCAGAATTAATAAGGAGGATATTATAGGATGCAATTAAAAATAGATATTATAAATAAAGATCTTAGAGAATGTGAATGTAACCTGGGGGATGGTAAATGACAACTATAAGAAAGAGGGCAAGAGTTAGTACAAAGAGCAAGTGGAAAATTCAAACAAAATGTGTTTGCTAATTAGCATCAATTAAGTTAACTGGTGACAAAGAGAGAGAGACACATAGTTATACTCATGTGGTATGAAGAATTAATAGCTACACAGGTATTATAAAGTTTTTATCAAGATCTTATATGAAAGGCTAGGTATATTTTTGATATAATTTTTAGTTTAAAGAATCACTTAATTCATTTTTACAATATCTCCATTTGTTAAAAAGTTAATAGCAAGTGTCACTGTAGCTATTCCAATACTTATGATATCAGGGAAACTATGTATTGAAAACAACATCTGGTACCTCTCCTGTGAGCTGTGTTAGACAAATAGAAGCAAATGATCGAAAAGTTAAATGCTCTAAAAAAATATATTATTTCCTAAACATGAAAGGCTTGCTTTCTGGTGTTTTCATAATTAGATTATTTATGTATTTGTTTCTCAATGTGTATCTCCTTTTTCCATTAAAAAATATCAAATCCACCAAGGAAAGCTGTCTCCACCAAGATAAATTAAACAGAAAGAAAATGGAGAGAGTTTGGCTCTGAACTCCCTGGCAGTAAGGCACAAAAGTGAATATATTAAGGTTCATAGACCCGCTGTTGAGAGCAGGTGAAAGCATTCTATTTCCTAAGGAGAAACTATTATTATTACTATTATTATTATTATTATTATTGCATTAAATTCTAGAAGAAACTTCTGAAATCAAGTTTTCTGTCATGGACATTTAGCAGCCTAGTAAACAATGACCTTGACAATACAAAAACTTGCATGAGATTTATGTCTACGAGGGAAAAGAGTCAGTTGCATAATATTGAAGGCAATTAACTAGGTAATTTTTTGATAGATTGAGATTATTAAATTTAAATATCTAGGCTATTTGGTTTAACTTGGTACAGTGGCAAAACTTGGGATACAAGAGGAGCAAAGCGCTAAAAGTCTCCTATGTCTTCCCTAAATATTGTCATTTGAGTTTTACAGAAATACATGTATGTGTCTTGGTGAAAAAGTCTCATAATGCAAATTCAAGAAACAAAAAAGAGAAATCATGTCACCTATTGGAGATGATACTCAGTATGGGCCAACCCTACCTTGTTCATAAAGTTGTGCTTTTTATGGCCTTTTCTATCACTGTGAATTTAAGATCAGGACACCTTCTGGAACAATAAATATTCTTCAGAGAAATTGCTGAATTTGAGCATCAAAACCACACAATAGACTCAATAACAACTTGATATATTTATCTACCTATTAATTTAATGGTTACTTAACTCACTGGGTTTTTAAAATCTAATGAAAATGACAGTATTTACTGATCAAACATTAGATTTATTAGATTTATTTTTCATAAAGAATGGCCTTTTATGTCCAACTCTGGAGATGTTATGATTTGAGATAATTGGTACAGACATACTCTGAAACCTCTCTTCTGTACACCAATTCTACCCGATCACACCTAATTAGATTCACAGATCACAAACACTAACAGTCTAGGCTTTTATGGCACCTTCTCAGATAAGATGAGAAAAAAATGGTTTCACAAAGTTTTGAAACTGTTCACATACATAAGAAATAAGAAAATGGGAAAGGCATACATTGTAAATGTGTGCATTATTTCTAGATGTAACAAGTAGAGCAAAGTGAAATAGAATAAAGTTTAAAAATCATTGATTTCTAATCTCTATCCTGTCAAGTAATCTAATGTCAACATAATCTCATCTATCTATAATGTCTACCTGAATATGAAAACTCTTGGTACCATCCACCAACACACAAATAAACATATCCAGTACAACAAATCCTTATATTTCACCTAAGCATTTTCATTCTCTGCTCTTTGCTTTCAAAGCCTGCAATTTGTTAACCATTGATATGAAAACGGTATTCCTTAGGTGGATCCATCTCTTTCCTTTTGATTTAGAGAATGCCATTCTTGCATGCCATCTCAAGCAGTGACTGGTGCTTCAGTTCACAACTTAAATAACCTCATGCCCACTTTAGTAGTGACAGAAAGAAAACAAATATGAATGAGATGCTGGTTCTCACTGGTGTTTACTCATATCACCTTCATTTTCTGTGACATGGTACCACGTGGTTCTGTGAGCACTGGACTCACAAGATATTCCTCATTAAATAAACAAAGGGAATAAATACTTCAGGAAGATGAAAAGGAGAAGGGGAAAAAACAAACGAGCAAACAAAAACCCCTTTGACCTGACATTATGGAAAAAAAATAAAAAAAGACACTAAGATGGAAAAAAAATAGTGTCATGGTTTACATGTGGGATTTTGATGGAGTCTAGGGCTGTGTTTTAATTCAAAACTCACCATCTCAAAACCACTTCTTTTCATCCGCCTGCAGGACTTGAGGTAAGTACGTATACGTTTTCTGGCACGCTCTTGATACTCAGGGAATTGTCGCCTGCATGAGTCAATGATAGCCTGGATCTTTTCTTTGGGCTGCTTAGAGATTGGGACCATTCGGTCCAAGTTTTCATCTACAAACAGCCTGACAAACATCTGTTGGCAAGAGGGAGACAGAGGAGAAGGGTTTGGAGGGCTGCTCTCTTCTGTTCCTAGCTTCCTGTCTTGATTACCGATAGGAAAATACTGTTTTCTGGTTTATGCACTGGAGAACTTTGCAATGGAAAGCCAGAAATTTTAAGCAAACACTCTTTAAAGACTTTCTAAATGGTTGGATTAAAAAATAGAGAGAGAAAAAGAGAGAGAAAGGCAGACAGACAGACAAACATACAGAAAAGAATAGACTATCGTGTAGAAAAAAATCAGGAAATAACAGTAGACTGTGACAATTGAGCACCCCATTACATTCTCTATTAATGATGAATACGACTGTTACATTGCTACACTGCACAGTGGACTAATCTCTGAAATCAAACAACTGACTGTTTTGTCATGCATAATTAGATAAGCTAGGAAAGCAAAAGAAATAACAGATGACGGGCGTACTCTTCCGAGGACTAAGCTGAGGCCCCCTCCATCCACTAGGTAAACATGCATACTCACACAACACAACTCCAGTTTTCAGCTCACATTTGGCTTTAAAATTCTAAACAAAACACAGCAATTCTGGTGTCTGGTTGGCAAAGAGTGTTTCATGTACTTTTTAAATCCTTCTGTAAATTAAACAAACATGTCTCTAAAATATCCACATTTACCAACAAGCAACAACATGAAAGTGAAGTGGTAAAAATTAAACCACACTTGGAGTGTGGCAGGACTCACATTAAAAGCTTTCAGTCGCTCGGCTTCAACGCCGTCTGTCTCATTAACTTTCTCGGAATCGTCATGGTCCTCGTGGTCATCTTCATCCTCATCTCCCCTGTTTAGTGAGAGGTCCTCAGCTCCTCGGTCCACACTCTCATTTTTGCCAGAGTCATAGCTGGAGTAACTATGTGCAGGAGACTGAAAAGAGAAGGTGAAATAACTGCTTTTAAATTCACTGCACAAGCTTATAAATTTCATGTCTCATCTTTAATTTCTACTGTTTCTCAAAAACCTTGTTTATGAGTTGATAACTCTAGAGCTGTTGTGATTTTAGTTTAAATCAAAATTAATTCAAATTAAATTAAAATTTCATTTCCTTGGTCACGTCACACTAGTTACATTGCAATTGCCCGTTAGCTGCATGGAACGTCTCCATCACTGCAGAAAGTTTTATTGAACTTAGCTGTTGAAGAGCAATTACTGTTTCCTCCCAATATTCATATTCCAAATAAAAAAGCAATGTGTAATTGATTTTGCAAGAGAATCACTGTGTCACATATTCTTAGAACTTAATATGACCTCAGAGCTTTGTCAGTATTCATATTAGTATTACACTTTATATAATATTGTATTATATCATATCAATATTATACTAACTTTATTTGTATTCTTTAAACAGGTATGGTAACTGAGGGATGTTTAATTAACCCAGCAAGAGCTATACAAAATATTATTAACTATTAGTTGTTAGTTAACATGCTTTGAAATAAATGTATACATTGTCTGTGAGTCTTAAGAGGGCATCTCATTTTGGTTTAGAAAATAGGAATCAGGTTTCTTCCTAATCCTCTGTGAAGTTTAATGTTTCTGGATTCTAACACTATTCAAAAGACAAAATAAATTTAAAGCAAGAACAGTTAAATAATAGTGACACATATTTCCATGTAAAAACCATTAAACATCTGAAAACTTGAAAATGTTTAACTGTTCATTTTCACATGTAAACAGCTGATAGCCTTCTTAGAGCCTCTGCTGTCAGAATACAATGCGTAAGTATATCTACATGTTAATGGGGCTGTTTAAAATAAATAAACTGGCTTTGATCACTTTTCATTTTGGGATTACACCTATTCCAAATATTTTCTCTTGGGACCCTCTAGGATTATTCCAGAGTAAGTTTGGAAGAGTGACCTGGAAATAAAGAAAATCCAAGTATATGGTGTGATAACGAGCTTGATTCAGCCATGTACAGCATAACAATAAACTATTTTATATATTCTTTGAGACCATAACATTGACCAATCTTCTTAGAATACTCTAGGTACTTTTGATAAAATACTAAACTAAGATGTAATCAGATTTAAAAAGGAGTATCCTCTATTTTTGTTTCATGATATAAAAGATATTTTGTGAGACATCAAATACAATAAAGCAAATAATGAAGCAAGTGAGAGGTAAAGAGAAGAAGTTAGTACTTAGAACAACTGTATGCCTAGTCAGTTGGTTCCCCTTAAGCTTCATAGCAACCTGGTGAGAAAGGATTATCCTCCAGATTCTACAGATAAGGAAACAGCTGCAGAAAGTCTAAACAACCTCCTCTTATCTGAAGAATGAGACTATATAACTACTATGTGAACCTAGGTCTGCCTAAGAGCTAAGAGTGATCAAATAAGATTTTCTTCTCAATATGAAGTTTTTCTAAGTGTGTGTGTGTGTATGCACATGTGTGTATAATTGAAAGAACATAAAATATGTATTGGTTTATGTACATGTTAATAGTTAAACAAAGTATTTTATAAGTGATTTCCCCTAAAACTGTTACTCCACCTAAATGAATTGGATACATTATTTACGTTTTCTTACAGAACAGTAAGCTGCAATTTATAAATGTTGAGTAAGAAGAATTATCACTTGCTGTAAAATTTCCACATATAATAGAATCTATTTAAATAATTTAGTAGTGCTTCATACACAGTTTTACTTATTTGTTTTGCTGGATAAAGTAGAATAAAGATACACTATTGCAATCAAATGTAGATAATTACATTTTCTTAAATACAAACCATCCATAGAAGGAAATAGTGACAAGCTCTCTTTTTTCAACTTAGGACTAAACATTCTGGAATAAATATATTTATTTTAGGAAAAATATATATTTAAGAGAATAAACTCTTAATAAACAGCAATAATATACAACTTTTAAGACCAACATGGTTAGTAGTAATTTCTAAAAACTCCTGCTCCAACTCCAAGTATCTATCTCAAAGTCAATCATTTCTTCCCTCAGCAAACCTTTATTTACATTGAGTGTCACTACACATTTGGTGTTGTGCCAAGATACTCTGCCACAGAGCAATTTTCATTCAACAAATTATTTATGGGCATTTATTATGCATCAGGCACTATTCTAAGCTGTTTAAATATATGACTCATTTACAATGAACTGGTTAAGTGACTTTCCCAATGTCACGTAGCTAGCAAGTGAAAAAGGATCTGAACCCATGCAGTTTAGCTCTGAGTTCATCATCTTAACACTATTCTATGCTGTCTCTATAGGATGACTACTTATGAGGTTATTGTTATAATATCAGCAGAAATCAATTCCTAAGGCACTGTATTTCTTGACACCAACTTTAAAAATAGAAATACCTCTGTGACAAGACATATTAGACCCATTTCATTATTTAACATCTAACTATTAATTTCCCTGTGCCAATCTGATAGAATACATGCATTTCATATGGGCTGGAGCCTATTTAATAATGTTTTATATTCATGAAGTGTCTTAAAATTTACATGGAGCTTTAATCTCAACATAACTTCACAGAAGAACTAGTATTAATATATTAATATATTTATATTATAAATGATTTCAAATATATACATAACAATAATAAATGATATTAATATACCTGATGGTTAGTTTTATGTGTCAATTTGACAGGCTGACACGGTGTCCAGGTATTTGGCTATCCATTATTTCCAGGGGTGTCTGTGAGGATATTTCTGGATGAGATTGGCACTGGAAGTGGTGGAATCACTAAAACAGATGGTTCTTCACAGTGTGTGTATAGCGGGGGTGAGGGGAGGGCATAAGGGCATAATCCAGTGCCTTGAGGGCCTGAATAGAATGCAAAGCAGAGGGAAGAAACATTTGCCTATTCTGCCTGACTGCTGAGCTGAGAGACTTACTGGGAATTCTGAGTCCCCTGGTTCTTAGGGCTTCAAACTTGAACTGAAATCTACCATTGGCTATCCTGGATATTCAGCTTGCAGATAGCAGATGATGGCACTTCTCAGCCTCCATAATCTCATGAGCCAATACTTTATTCTATATATTATATATCTTATTGATTCTGTTTCTCTGGAGAACGCTGAGTAGTAATTATATTATTCACATTATAAATGACTTCATTAAGGCTCAGTTAATTTAACTTGATCAGATAACCTCAGACACTGAGAAAAGTGATAGAGAAGTTAAGTAGAGGCCATCCATTCATCACTGGGCTGGTAACACTACACAGGATTTCAGCGTTGGGGGATCATGGGAGTTAGCAAAAGAAATGAAAATGTTGAGTTTCAGAATCTCAGTGGATTACCAAAGTAGAAGGAGAAAGGCAAGTGTGTAAAGGAAGATGAATGCCAATCCAGACAATTTTCATTAACTTCTATAACTGTGTCCAAGACCAACCATGGGGCCTGTTGTGGTATCTCCTACTTGTTTGCTGGCCCAGCACCTTTTTTCTTTCAGAAATGGCCCCTTGCTCTCCCAGGTAAAACTGCCAATCCCTTGGGTATCAACCTTCTCTATGCTAGGCATGCATCTTTGCCTCTAGGTGAGATGGCTGGCCTAAGTCTGAAATCAAGCTGAATCCAGCAGAGCTAAGAAGCACAGAGTCGTGATAGCATCATTTGTGCATCTAGGTCTCACTAACACTGAAATTAAGCCCCGGATCCTTAAGTTGTATAATACTATACATCCTCCACCCACCCACATGCTTTTAAATTTTGCTTAAATTTGAGTTTCAGTCACCTGAGATTGAATCTGGAGTGGCACAGCAACCAATCATTAGAAGCCAGATTAACAATATAGATTTCACACATGATCATTCAAATACATAGATGGCCCCAGCCAAATGAATAATACTATCTTTGTAAGCAGAAGCAGATATTCTCAAATCCACCAACAAAGTAAAATGATAGTGAATGACCTTTATGAAGGGAAATTTTAAATTGACAGTGTTTAAAATTGCTTCCATGCCATGGTAACAAATGTGTAGCATGCTTTAAGGATCACACCAACATATTATAACTATATAATCAGTGGAGAAATAATAAAACTGGAACAGATCTTTGACATTAACAGTAAAGTTAATTTTCAAAATCAGCATAATATCTTTACAGTTCACATCATTAACAAGGTGGAATTACCTAATAAAATATATTAAGGAAAATATTCCATAGGTTTGACAAGCCTATCTTTTTAAATCTAAAATGTAATAAGCATAATATATTTTTGAATGGCAACATGAAATATTTAAAAATGTTACAATACCCTTATTTGAATGCAAATATTCTGGGCTAATTCTTTCAATGCAGGTGTTTGATGGACACAGAACCACTTGAAACAGTGAAAAATGTATAGCCTTATTTACTCAAGTTTTAAAGAACGTGCAATCTTGCAGATCTGAAAATATTCAGGATCTAAATCTCAAGGATGATTGATGTTATTTTGCTTTACAAAACAAACTGAAATTTTCATAACCGAATTCTGCTTTTCAGCTGGATTATCGTTTAGGACCTACTGTTTAAAGCCAAATTAAGTTCAATTTCCAGCTTCTACCCTAGTCCACTTCAATCTTTCCCTAAACTGTGAAGCCAAGTTACTTAATTTGACACAGATTTAAACACTACCATTGCTCTCTACTTTCCATATTAATTTGCATTTTTCTTCAAACTAGTCTGAGATAAGAACCAACACATATTCCTCACATAATCCAAGACATGAGCTTTACAGATTGCCATTCAAGACTGCCTATAATTTCTCTTTTTTCTATAAAACGATTTGGTTTTTATAAATGGCAGAATGTGAGTATTGGAATGGTATCATAGGCTCAGAGAATACAAATTACTATCGGTCTCCAAATAACACATATAAAATATGGCAGCCATTTGCCCCATAAACCTGCCTTGCCTTA